CATTTTCAATAGCTTTCTGTTTAGAATGTTTATCTCATTTGACCTTTAGTCTGGCACAGCATGTAATTTGCCTGTTAAACAGTCTGCTGTTGTTCTCACAAATAGTTACTGTATCATTGCTTACCTTTGGTTTCCAATCATTTTCTGTAATTGTTCCTTGTGTTCAATCCATTTTGTTCCAAATTATCCTCTTGTCATTACTTTTCGTGATTTAGTTTCATTGTACTAGTTATTAGCTTAGTCACGCTGTAATGTTATGCAAGACATGTAATCCGAATCCCCCATTCTTGTCTATTTTGCACTTCATGTAATAGTTCTCAGATTATACTCAGCTTCTGGTTTGTTTACATTTTTAAGTCACTTTTATTGTTTCTTAAGTAATCTTACTGCCCTTTTTACATGCAATTTATTAGTGAGCATTGTGCAATCAGTTATCTAGTCTTATTCTTGTTTCTAATATTTAGCTTGTAAATACTGTTTAGCTTATTGTAGTTTTTGTTTATTTTTGTATTTTAGTTTCTCGTTCCCGTTTTTTTGTTTGTTAAATAAACTCGCAAAACTTAAGCTCAAATCTGTTGTTCTTGCGTCGACCGTTTTGGCCGTCTTACACATGGATGGAAAAATTACGCATACCTGTTTTTTATACACCTATTTTTATGACATAAACATGGATATGAACTTTTATGGGCAACAAATGTTATTACTTAATTCACTGTATTTTCCATGTTTTCATTTTTATTAGTGCCTCCTCATCATGTGTTCAAAGTTTAACGGTGTGTGACCTGACTGATTGGGTTAGAACGGAAGGCCATTACTTTTGTTTGCATTGTTTACGCTTAAAATTTTTATGTTGCACCATTGACAGAAAGTTACAAGGGAAATCATGGGACTTTCAAGAAATGGTTAAGATAGTGGAGTTGTATCGATCTCGCTTTTTAATGCATGGCCATTTTTATGTTTAAGCATGTTTTCGCAGGTAACTACTCAAAAAGTCTGTTCCTCCTGTTGTTGGAATTAACCCTTTTAAACGGTACCGTCATTGGAATGCCATGAATTGATCTCATTGCGATCGGTTATTTCCAAAATAAATGTTGATTCATGGTTGGTTACGTTGTTAAAAATCGATTGTGCCACCGCAACAAATATACGATATTGAATTTGAAAAATTCACACATGCTTACGCGGGTACATGCATTTGTAGAATTGTAACCTTTTCTAGAACACTTTGGGATGATTTTTTGTAGAAAGTGTATGCAAGCATTACCAAGTTAGATGTGTGTACAGCTACCTTGTGGATTAATTGGTGTACAGATTTTTGTTGTCCACTGTATGAGAATTAACTCTATGCCTGTTTTTCCAAGCGCTTTTTGAAGGTCCAATTTTCTGTCCCATTGTCGCCTTCTGCATTTGCGCGGTTTTTTTCTAGCAGTCTTGGCCATCAACTTTCCATTCGGCAGGGGTTTCAAAAGGTTTCCAACCAGGAGCAGGTTCTAACTTTTTAAAGTTCCTTTTTCAGTCCCTTTCAAAACAGCCTCTGCTACTTTAGGCCGCAAGTCTTTACGAGATTGTCTGGTGATGCGTTTTCTACCTGATTCAGCTCTATCAGCAGGTGTATCCCAAGGTTCAACTCCATAAGCACCTGAAAAGGGAAGTTCTGTCGCTAATTCTTCCGAGGTTTTTTCTGGTGTCTTGAATGGAGGAGTCGACTTCTTAACACTGGACTTTTTTGACGGTGTCTTGCATAATAAACGCTTTCCTTTGGACCCCGTTTTAAAGAAAAAACTTGGCTTTTTTACTGCTGGGTGGTGACTGTTTTATGTCAGGTGTAATAGGTGACTGTCTTATGTCGGAGGTCTTTGGGGTCGCTGGTCTTGTTATACCTTTCTGAATCTTGGCTATATTGCTAATCATTTGATGCACAGGACCTACACCTAAATTATCCTCCTCATCTGACAAATCCTCAAAATCTTCTCCACTCCCAGTCGCTCGTGTTCCTCCTGATTGTCGTATTTTTTTAGTCCAATGACGCAATTGTCATCCTACCGCTTTCAATTGTGCACAGCAAATTCAAGGTTGTAAATTAACACCACCGGTGATATACATTTACACAGAATTAGTGTTATCATAACACTTGCCGAGTGTTTCTTAAAAGATACACCAGTTCAGTGTTTGAAAACAATAAAGGGTGTAATCAAGAAATGTGGCACAAGTTTGCGGTGTAAAGTTACACTACGTCTGTGTTTCAGAAATCTTGCAAGTACTTAACACAACTGGTGTGTTATTTTAGACCAAATCGCGTATCAAAACACTACCAAGGATTTTAATCTGAAATTATCAATCGCATATCCCAGGTCAGAAATGTTTAAACTAAACACCCTGCTCACGTGAATTACCCGAATAGGTCTATTGCTTTTCAAAAAATATGAGATGTCAGGCAGTGTTCCAGCATGAATGTAGTTATACTACTTGGAGCTAAAAGTTATGTGAATCCTTTATTAAGGATGATGTAATTTTCTCTTCTTCAAAAATATACGGATCTAATGGTGACAATTAAACTCACATACTTTATTAAGGATGGAGAACCCTAAAAAAAATGCAGGCACACACCAGGAGCATCTACTACCAGGGCCCCACGTGCTTTCCGTGACTACTTGAAAGCACGTGTTTTCAGTGTTTATATGCCGGAAAGGTGAAAGCAAAGATAATTATGCAAATTAAAATATTCTAAAAAGACCGCATTTGTCTTATAAGCAAGTTAACCTTTGAAACATCACGAAAACATTGCATTTGTTTTACGCCAGTCATTTGTATGCTGCGCGAGGCTCTCGAAAGTGATCTTGTAAGTGTATATTGAAAAGCGTCTATCAATGGCGGCAAGCGAAACAACATCCGAATGTTTTGTGTGTGAGGATATGACCAATCCCAACTCAGTCCTAAAACGTTCCCATGGTTTCTTAATCCCTTTGATTACACTGTGAACATTCCTTTCAAGACTACCTTACCAAGTAATGTTTTGTCCAATCAGAGAAAAGCAGAAAGGTTTCGTGTCTTGTTCAACGTTGCGTGCTCGTTCATGTATTCACGCACAGCGAAGCAGTAGCTGTCCATTTTCTGCACGGAAGAGTTAAATTATTTAGCCTGTTTTAAGGGTAAAACCTGCCTTCACTTATTTTTCCTTGCGAAGATGTTCAAGAGTGGATGAAGAAGGAGAGATTTCAGGCATTTGCCGATCATTTTTATGGTAAGGAAATAGCCTGTCCTAACTAATATGTTCTACCTTTAAAAGAAAAAAAATCTCATATACTGTGCAACCTAGAATTCGTAAAACGGTGTTCTGATACATCTTTCTTTTGATTTACCCATCTAAAATGAGTTCCTAACTGAAAATGTACTTCTGGCGCAAAATATTATATTATTATTATATTACGGCCTGAAAGTTTAGCTCTAAAACTTTTAATTTACCTTTCTTAACTCTTTTTTAACTCCCAAAGCTGAACAGATTGATGTTAAAGCACTGTTGTGCATGAAAGAAGAAACCTTCAAGACCCTTGTGCCAACTGCTGGCGTTCACGCTAAGCTTCTTCACAAGATACGAAAACTTTACGATAAAGGCTAGATAATTCAAGAGGTGTCTACCGAAGCGTGACCTGTACTTGAAGCTGTTAATGGTGAAACAGTTCACGAGGCATTTAGCACCCCAACAGTTGATAAAGAGAGGTTGAGAACCTAGTTACAGTTACAATGCATTAGGCAACCTACACGGAACGGGTAGGAGAGAATCCTGGGAACGAGGTTGTGGATTAGTAAGCAAATTCTAAATACATTATATACATTATTACGCGCATTAAATTATATATTTGAATGCTATTTTGCGCCTAATAAATAATAAATTATTATTATATTATCTATTTCATGTTAGAGCTACACAATTTGCCAATGTGTGCTGTCCATATACGATGCAAAAGAACGTATAGACATTTTCAATCATTCACAAGAGATACGTGTTATGAAAAATATTATTTTCAGCCATCCTATCTATTTTACCAAAGATACTTCAATACTGTCTTTTTCGATAAAAGTGCCTGAGTCACAGTAATGCCTCCACCCCCTTTGAACAAATTTTTATTATTTGCCGCATTTTTTTTTAAGTTGGAAAAGATCTGATGAGGCAAAAAGGCGTCAGAGACTAGCTCGAAATAAACGAAGACGGCTTGAAATAAGACAAATTAAGAAAAACTCTATGAAAAGCTAGTTTAAGAAAAAAAGAAGAGATAGACAACTAAAGAAAAACTGTATTCTGCCAAAAAAATCAAGAGAAGTTTCACCAAATATGGCGTCAAACAGAACATGAAAAAGAAAGATTACTTCATTTGCAGATGAAAAATTAAACAAAGTCAACCAATTCTTCAGATATTGCTGCGGCAGTAACAAACTCATTCCTAGAGATTTCACGGGAACTGATATATGTAAATGTGGACAGTGACTCCAAAAACTTAATAACCCTTGGAAAAGGAAAGTTTGGAAAAATTACACTGGTTTTGCCTTTTATTGCGAAAAGCCTGTTGCAGTGAGACAATTCAATGAAGGAGTCTCGCAAGCAGAAGTTGAGCATGAGGCAAACATTATTTCCTCATTTCATAAGGCCAAACCTTTCATGCTTCTACTACAATTCTAATTTGTTTTTCGGCAGGAATGATTCAACCGATTTCTATGATTTTTTTGGACAGTTTTTGTAAAAATTCGGCTTTACTCATAAGCCGATATCTCAAACAGTTTTAAACCTACACAAAAATAAACAACATTTTCTTAAATTTGCACTATTCTTTATTAAGGATGCCAAAAATCATAGAAATCGGTTAATATTTATTGCCGTTTATCATGCTGCAGTTGAGAAAACACTTCATCTTTGAGGGACAACCGCAAGCCCCAGATGATATATACCTCAGTGTGGAAAGGAATCTCCTTCTAAAGGCTAATGGAGGATATAGCAGCGCCTGGTCACTCTTCTAATATAATTTGTGTGTAATATAGAATATCCGAAAGAATGCAGAAGAATGGTGGTGAGAAGCCTGGAATTGATCAGACTATTTCTTAAGTCAATGTGCATAATACCAGAGTATCAGAAGCAGAGGGAGAGTAGTGGACGTCCACAGCCTCTAGGGATTGGGGTAACCATGTGAGATGAAGTCCAGATGAACACTGAAAGTTCTAGAAATCATTCTTATATAATATTCTATTCTGCCTTGATAAACTCTGGCAGCAGATAATAATTCAGGATTCCTTTCAATTACTACTATGACATAATAGCATAATCATATAGAACGTAGTTATGTTTCATTCTTAAAATAAAATTTTAATTCCAGTTGGTAAAGGAGATGTCAATTATTTCACACTAGGGAATACCCTGAGATTGGAATCATTTCTTTGGCTCCTCTGAGTAGCCTGTACTAACCCATTTGCCTTTAAGATCCAGATGAAAGTTGCATGGAATCTTAAGAGTAGCTCTATCTCAGGTTTCACCATAGCACCTGATAAACCGTTTGTTTTATATGAAGTTTTTACACATCATCCATCGAAAGTGGGTGCCAAAAGACCAGCTGTTTTGTCAACTTTCTGTACAGGGTCCTAACCTCAGGGTACGATATGATTAGGCTTTACTTTCCTGCTTCCAGTTCTGTGGATTCAAACATCTTTCAAGAATTCTTTTTGCTGAGTCTTAAACCATTTTGATGGATTTAAAGGATATACCGTCCTTTGAGATGGAGCGCCCTCTAACCTAACATCATACAAGTGATTGATTTACCAGATTAAAGCTCGTGAGCCTAGTTAGAGCAGAGTTAAAGAAAATAATGTGGCTTTATCAGCCCTGCCAAATATACAGCTACAAGCACAATTTTTTTTTTGCCTAGTCAGTTGGTTACTTCGTTCAATTAAAGGATGAATGTTTCGGTAATTTTGCATACAAACTGTTGACAAAAGGCACAAGATGTTTCGTTCTGAGGAGTGTTTTTGACATTGGAGGCATTTGATTGTCACATGAGATACTTTGTGATATGTTATTTGATATTGATGTAATTAAGCTTTGCTCAAAATATTGAATTTGACGCTGCCTGACAGGTATTTTTCTTTTTGTCTTGCACTGCCTGTACACACCAAGATCTTATCTTATTCCCAGGATTAATTATTTAGTTTAGTTCTTACATAATAACATATGATAAGGGTTATGCAATATTGAGTTCGTCAGTTCCTCCTGTGACGATAGATCTCACTCAGTACTCAGTTCGATTTCTTCTACTTTTCTTTAAATATTTATGTCTCAATTGCACTATTCTCTCCACGCAAGTAAGGAATTCGACTACGTCTTACTAAATGGGGGAAAGCAGTTACAGTTCCCTGTCCGCGTTTTTCTTTCCCAAGATCATCTCCCCAGTCTGGCCCATCGAAGAATGGCAAAGACAATGGGCCTCAAAACAGAGCTACTCTTTGGGATTTGGGCTCTAAAAAAATTGACGTCTTAAGTTGATGCCTTGTTGACACATCCGTTGGACAGTAGTAGACTGTTAGATTGTCATGAAATGAGAAGCCATTTTGAATCCCGTCCCAAAAGAGTGGATATTCTGAGTTACGAGAGCGAATCAGAACCTGCCAAAATTGCAATCCACTCATTCGGTGAATACTAATATTTAAATTTTTTTAAAGGAAGGCAGATAGATACACAAAAGATATTGTTTAGTGGTTCTAAGGGAACCAAATATTGATACTGGCCATCTCGCTCTCTACAGAACCTTGACCAATACACATCCCACCTTCTGAAGATAATTGTGATTGACGTCCATCAAACTTTCCCGTGTGAACATTCTTATTATTCAAAATACAAAGGTTGCACCTTGTCTAATATTAAGAAGAAATTAAGATAAATGCCTGTGATCACAAAAACAATTCTTACATTTCTTGTATCTATTTGGTTTCCTTATTTAGCAATGGACCTTTTGGCTGGACTGATTTGTTTTGGCAACATTCAGTAGAGGAGCTACACTTGCTAAAGTGACTCCTGTGTACAGACCCCCCGCCCCCCCCTTCCCTCAGTAAAATCAAAGAAGGCGTGTCTTTAATTTACCATTGCTAAACGTCTATGGAGACCACGCGACTTTTCCCGGAATGTGTGAAAAATGATTTGATTGGCTGTTACTCGTAGATCACTGCGTCAATTAAAACAGGGATTACGATTGGCTTTCAATTTTGTGGGGTTTTGTTAAGCCGGCTCTCGAAGTATGCAATGCTATCAAGCCAGCGATTAGAGTGAGTTTGTCATGAGTTCATGGGTTCTTTGTGGAAAAAGCATCGTAAAGAATTCAGATAAAAATCTTGTTGACGGACAGGAGAGTTTGACTTTTAATGTCCCAGAGGAATTACTCTCCCTGGAGTCTAGAGTGGCTATAGATCCTACTTACAATTGAAGAAATTGGCTGTTGACTAAAGAAAAGAATGGCGCTTCAGACAAATCTTCATGTGCTGAACTCGACTCGAAAAATTGTCACCTCCAAATCCTCTTCTACTTTCCCCTTCCGCATTAAAGCAAATCCTACGCCTTCTTCAAGACCTTTAACGATTGCCAAGAGAAGGTATTGAAACATGTTACTCTGGACAATCTGCGTGCCGCAGAAAATCAAGACATGCCAGGATCCATGAAACAACTGCTGCTTTCCTCGACCCCGTGTTAAGAAAAACGAAATGTTGCCATTCACAATAAGCTATTAGCTGCTGAGACTGCACAGAAAAATGAGNGCTATCAAGCCAGCGATTAGAGTGAGTTTGTCATGAGTTCATGGGTTCTTTGTGGAAAAAGCATCGTAAAGAATTCAGATAAAAATCTTGTTGACGGACAGGAGAGTTTGACTTTTAATGTCCCAGAGGAATTACTCTCCCTGGAGTCTAGAGTGGCTATAGATCCTACTTACAATTGAAGAAATTGGCTGTTGACTAAAGAAAAGAATGGCGCTTCAGACAAATCTTCATGTGCTGAACTCGACTCGAAAAATTGTCACCTCCAAATCCTCTTCTACTTTCCCCTTCCGCATTAAAGCAAATCCTACGCCTTCTTCAAGACCTTTAACGATTGCCAAGAGAAGGTATTGAAACATGTTACTCTGGACAATCTGCGTGCCGCAGAAAATCAAGACATGCCAGGATCCATGAAACAACTGCTGCTTTCCTCGACCCCGTGTTAAGAAAAACGAAATGTTGCCATTCACAATAAGCTATTAGCTGCTGAGACTGCACAGAAAAATGAGGTCGAAGACAAACGGATGATAGCAGAGTTATTTGTTTTTTTCCCTGGGTGCAACAAGACCTTCGCATCTAAAGGAAAATGAATGCAGGATCATGAAAGTTCCCACAAGCAACGGGTATTACCTTTGGATCCCTTGCGGTGACGTTAGGCCATGCCATAAATAAGTACACGACCATCAAAAGAGGAAAGGCTTTGAGAGAATAAGACCAAGTGCTGCTAGAAGACATGGACAATCTCGAAAAGCTTATGGGATCTGAATGGAGTGATAACATCTCATCACTCACTAGGAACAGTCTACAAGAGGAACTTAACAAGCCAGATCTTCTCCCAGTTACTGAAGACTTGGAGATGTTGAGAAAACATCTCCTTCACAAGATTGTCACTTGTACAGGAACCTTAAAAGCTGCACCAATAATTCAAAATTGGGGTGAGTTAGCTAAAATAACCCTTTTCCAAGTTGTAACATTCCATAACCGAAGAGGTGGTGAAGTTCCAAAAATGCTGCAGCTTAGAATGTAGAATGACCAGACTGGACGAAAACAGCAACAAAAGGAATTGAAGATTGTATATAGCCAATTGAGAAGGAGGTGTGTAAGAGGTATAAAGTGATGACACATTCAGTTATTCCACTACCAACACACACAAAAATTGCAGACACCTTGGAATCATGCACAGTGATAAGATACACTTACAAATCTATCACCAACTGCTAGACTAGATTACGTTTATTGCCAACAATTCAACAAAAATATTAATCAACGCACTAAGAAATCTTCCAGCAGGGTAAAGGGTGCATACCAAATTATTGCCAATATCAATCTAAAAGAAAAGGATGGACCAATTTAATATTTTGCCCTTTGTATCCTTGGATATGCTAGAGACTGAAAGCAAACGGGGACGCAAGGTCCTTGTGGTGTAAACACGTGATATAAAAGATACAATGGAGGTCTTAGGCAAGAAAAGACGAGGCCAAAATCAATCTAAAGTTTAAAGTCTAAGTTTTCCTCTGCCCGCCCGTCTGAAGACTCAATTAATCACATTCGCCAAGGGGACTGTCTGGGGAATCAATGCTTTTAAAAATCTTTTAGCAGGGTAAAGGGTGCACACCAGATTATTGTCAATATTAATCTATCAGAAAAAAATAGACCAATTTTGCACTTTCTCATTATATTTACAATATGTATCCTTTGCAGGATGGATATGGTTGAGATTGTAGGCAAAAGGGGACATGAGCTCCCACTGCTGTTAATGCCTGATATCAAAGAAGCAATGGAGATCTTAGTCAAGAAAAGACGAGGCCAACGCCAATTCAAACGACAAGTTTTTCTTTACCCGCCTGTCTGAAGACTCAATTAATCACATTCGCCACAGGGACTGTCTGACAAAACAATGTAGACGGCTTAAATTAAACGAACCTAATTTTATAGTACCTGCCATACAAAGTATGTTGCAACGGTTTCCCCAGTGTTAGACCTCCAAGAAAAAGAGTTAGATTGACTGGCACGACACATGGGACATGACATCGGAGTACACAGGGAATATTATAGACTCCACGAGTCTGGAGCTGGCTAAAGTCAGCAAAATATTGGCACTAGTTGATGAGGGAAACTTCCAGCGAGCCATTGGGAAACCTTTGAATAAGTCGAGGTTGATGCTGGTTAGTTAAACATTTACGACTTGTTCTTGTAGATCATAATCCAGTTAAATTTTGTACATAAAC